AGGCAACAGATTATCTTTGCAGCCCATTCCTGCACTACCATATGTGCTGCGTCTCTTCTCAAATTTCCGCTCGGCTTCCTGCTCCATCTAATCTGAGCCTGGTTTCCTCCTCGATCTCCACTATTAGTCCATCTCTGGGGCCTTCAGTCGTCGATCCAGTTGCATGTATGCTGCATCCACATACAAATGAAATTGCGTCGCATGCAGAGCACGCACAACTTTGTCGACATCACTATCTGGATCGTCAAACAAGCCAACGTCCTCAAATAAGCCAACGTCATCCTGCTGTTCTGGGAAATCTGGGGGACTAGGCTCAAACGGGTGAGTATACAACCCCAATTCACAGTGATCAGATGGTGGATTGCCCAGTGGGAAGCTACGACGTGCCTGGGTGATGAGCAGGGTGGGAAGTCCGGGGATATTGTGGTGAAATGGGCTTGGGTACGATCCGATACAGTCAGTGTATGCTCTTTTGTTTTGTAATGCCCACGTTGCGCACCCTCTAATAAAATCACCTAGCATAAGAATCCATCCAGTGCCTCGCAATGCTCACGTACCTCTGCGATGCGGCGTACGCCCTTTGCTGCTCATGCTTTGCAGTGAGCCTCTCTTGCACAGTGTGGTACTTCACCTTGTGGCCCATAACGACAATGCGTACACCGACTTGCTACTGGTAAGCTTATAAGGTGCACATTTACTATCGCGGCATACTTCACGTGCATTAATCCGAGGATGGTACAGACATCAATTCAAATGCTGCAGACAAGAACTACACTACATGCAGCACCAAGGCGAGTTACGAGACAGGTGAAACAAGGTAAGTATTCATGATTATGACTCAGGCAGATCATGACGAAACAGGGGTTACAGATTGCAATTGAATGTAACTAGGCAGTGGAATTCAAACGGTACAAGAAGATGGCGATGGAGTCAGGGAGCGCGTATATGCAAATGCGCCACTTTTGTGTCCATGCGCTACCATCACACAGAGATGATGGCAACATGACCGTTAGCAGCAGCCTCCATGAATGCCATTAGTGCAGCTGTGAACGTTGGGTAGCGCTGAAAGATTGCGCCAGGAATGCCAGTAACAAGGGGCGAAGTATTGGGCCTTCAGCAGCTGTAAGTAGACATCATGTACTACTGCATATTGGACTCACCAGCCAGAAAAGACTCCGACAGCCCGGCCTCGTGAAATGCAATACCAACGAGTCGACGGCTGATGTGCACAGGAGCCTCCATCGTCTCTGCTATCGTTATGATTGGGTCTTCCCTCCCCTTCGACATATTGGGAGCCAGCCACATCTGAAATGGGCTCAGAATCTGCGACAACAACCTCTGGACCTGAGCGCAGGGTGGAGGTTGTGATCATCGATGTGCTGGCACTCGTGGAGCGGCCGTGCGAAGGTGAAGACGAGGTGACACCATCGTCACCTGAGGCAGTCACTAGGTGGTAAGATATAGAACCTTGCATGCATGCTCTGTATTCAATGTGCAGCTAACCTTGTTCATGGTGCAGGTTACGTTTGGCTATGAACATAACAATAAGCATATAAAGAAAATGATACCCATTTAGCTGCATACCGATGTGCTGGTTGGAGACGAGGCGCAGAGCTGCCATCAACACATCCAACAAAATCATTATGTCATTGTTGCCATCCTCATCTCCCTCGAGTTCAGCATGAACCTTGCCATCGCGATTGCTGTTAGTCATTGCACGCAGAGCGTAGGGTGAGGTTGGAGGAATACAGACAAGGATAGGGGCAGGAACCGATGCTGGGGTAAGTGTTCAAGACCCGAACAAGCTTTTAATTTAAACACTGAAGGTTATGCGAGGCCAGGTTTAGTCACTCATGAGTTGGAAATGTGTTTGCCACAAACCGGATGACGTACGCCAGTATTCGCAATCCTACCTAATTGGCTGCATGCCTCGAAGTCAAATACGAGGCTGTAACAGCCTGATTCATCACATCACCTCAGTAAGTCTTGACTGGCTCTAATCTGAGCAATTGCATGGCTTACATATTATCTGCATGTTAGATTTGTCGACATGGCTCCTCGTCGTTGGACAACAGAAGAGGAATATACGTTCCTCAACAATCTCTATCCACAATATCTCAAAGCCCAGAAGAAAGGTCATCAAGACCCATTTTTTATCTGGGTAGAACACGAATGGTTCGAAGCGTTCTCTGAGCACAAGAAGGTCTTTGGCCACGAGATTTCCACCTTGATGGATGAACAGGAGACACAACTCCACATGGCAATTACCGCACGTCAAAAGGTAAGTCTTGGCAACAGATTGCCATAGCTGTCATGCTGAGTACGTCACGCGAGCAGCAGCTTCGTGAATGGTTCCGCAACAGAAATGCTTCTGCTCGGTGCTCAGGTGCTGCTCCCAAGTCATCCCTCAATATGAACATCGCAACGAAGCCTGCTGGACGCCGTTGTCTCAAAGGTCTTGAGCTCTATTCACGCAAGTACTACCGAACAAGGGTCCAGCCTGCCGTCAAGAAAATTATAATGGAGCAGTCCTTATCTTCAAAGGAGACACTGCATGTCATCAAGCAACTGACTGCGAAGATGTTTGAGAAAGAGGATGACGAGATTAAGGCAGAGATCCAGGCCGAGTATGATGCGCAAGAAATTCATCAAAATGAGGATGCCGGGGAAGCTTCCGAAGCATTGCCAACGCCAATGCAATGCCAAGAGTAAGTGTTATTCTCAGTCTGGATATTCAGTTAAGCTCATGTCACCCGTAGATTCATTGATTCTATGCCTGCGATGCTGAAGGAGTTATTCTCGGAGCTATCACGGAAGACAGGGTGGTGCTTTACTGTCATCGGCGGTGGACCTTGTCCCGAGGAAGATGGTGAGATAAGAACAATCTGGTACGTTTTGCTACTTTTAGAAGATCAGGGCCATAAGAGTAATTAAACTCCTTTAGCTATCATCATGGACAGACACAGATCGAGCACAATTTCGGGCAGGTGATGCCCGACTTCAAGCAATCTGTCATGAAGCCGTATATCTCCTTCCTCAAAGAGATCTATCATAAGCACTTCTTCTCATCTTGGGCAATGAAGAAGCATCATGATAGATGTTCCATTTCACAGCTGCAGAGGTCCGGGCCACATTCTCTCTTAGTGCCCAATCACGCTCGCCATCACACTCGTTATCGTGCTCGCCGTCGCGCTCGCCATCACGCTCATCATCACGTTCATCATCACGTTCGCTATC